TTTTCTTAAGAAAAATTGTGTGGATAGCTAGCTGTCTTCCTTTAAACAGGGAAGAATGATTTGTGTTTGAGAGAAAAACACTTTCATTCAAACAAAGCTTAACTTTCTATACAGATTTTTGAAAGGTTTTTTTTTAAACTTACAAATAACACATTTAAATCTTGATCTCTGCATTACCATAATGTAAATATTTGCTATTAATACATAATAGTAGCAGCTTGCAAAAGGAAAAGGAATTGTGCATTTCTTTTCCCTCGCTTCTCCCACCACACTTCCTTATTGTATATAAAGAAGGCCTGAGGAGTGAAAAAAAATACCCATGAATAGCACATGTAAAAGGTTGGGCCTCCCCCAAAATAATTTGTCCAAATCATCAGAGGGAAAAAAAGAGGCTGGCCATGCAGGCGGCAAATGCTGGATGCTCTTTGGAGGTGCATACTTTGCATTGTTTTTCACTTTTCAGAGACCATCCCTGCTGTGTGGCAGGAAGGCACCTTTCTTCCTCTTCCTGCCATTGACAAGCAGGTGGCACAGCTTGCTGGCTGCCCCTGGCCGTACCACCTGGCCTGTGGCACTGCCTGCATGGCTAGTAAGCCTGGACACTGCTGCTGCATTTGAAATGTGGACTAAATCAGAACCAATGGCTGGCTGCAGAAACATTCTGCCTACCCCATTGCCCTATCCTCCAGTCCACCTCATTTTCATGCAAGACAACTTTTGGGATGCTGCTGCTCAGCCGTAGGATTTGCAGGAGTCAGGGTACCACTCACAGTTGCACTGATGCCCAAAAGTTCATTCACCTCCACGAATCATTTGACCTGCATACAGAGTGAGAAACAGTGCTGAGAAAAGAGACAATTGTCTGAAAGGTATTCCTATTCTCCTCATGTCCCATAAGGGTCCCTAGTGCATGGCCCCCTTCTCCCCTGTCTCACTGTGTAATGTGGGACACCTAGGCTACATCTAGACTGGCATGATTTTCCGCAAATGCTTTTAACGGAAAAGTTTTTCCGTTAAAAGCATTTGTGGAAAAGAGCATCTAGATTGGCACGGCCGCTTTTCCGCAAAAGCATTTTTTGTGGAAAAGCGTCCGTGCCAATCTAGACGTGGTTTTATGCAAGAAAGCCCCAATCGCCATTTTCGAGATCGGGGCTTTTTTGTGCAAAACAATACCGCGTTGTCTACACTGGCCCTCTTGCGCAAAAGCATTAGCGCAAGAGGGCTTTTGCCCGAACGGGAGCAGCATAGCATTTCCGCAAGAACACTGACAACCTTACATGAGATCGTCAGTGTACTTGCGGAAATTCAAGCGGCCAGTGTAGACAGCTGGCAAGTTTTTCCGCAAAATCAGATGATTTTGTGGAAATGGCTGCCCTAGTACACGATGTGGTTTAAAGTAAAAGGTTCGGAAATGTGGCTAGTCCCAGGAAGGCGCAGAAACAGGCAAACTATTACTAAATATCTTTTAAACTTTTATTAAAGGGCTTCTACGTATAAATTATGATTTTATCAATTTCTTACATACGTAGGCACTAAATAATTATTAGAATGTCCAAAAAGCAAAATGCAATACAGTGAAGAAAATTCTTTGAGGTTTCTCTAAATCCCAATAGTTGTTAACAAGGGACTAGGGATTATTAACAGTTACATTTACATCAGTCTTACTTATAAGACTAATCATTTATCTAAAACTTTTAACACTACTACTTAACAATACCTCTAAACAATTTCAGATAACAATACTTACATTTAACAGACACACAAACTACAACAACAACATATTTGCTATTCGTTATGTTTGGTATACGTTACGCTCTACAGGAACTCGTTTGGTTCGGTGAGCGGGAGGTGGCCCTTGGGTGATCAGTCCTCGGACCTGGCTCATATTCCGCCATCCAATGTTTATTCGGGATTCCTCAATTTGATAAAGGAGGGGTAGCTGTTTTATAGAGAGCTTTTGCGCACTTTTTGTGATAGGCTAGCAGACCCTGTCTGCTAAGTGACGGGGTAAGGGGGTGAGATGGTTTCCTGTTTTTCCTTTTCTGCCTTATTGGGCATGGCACAGTCAGCACAAACGGCATGAACTTTACAAGAACTTTTTAGGTCTGGTTTTGGTTCCTGTTCGTCGCTAACCTTTAAGTTACATACTGTAAGGGTTTTCATCAAGGGGAAGTTGACCTTTTGCTTGGATGGCAATACGCGCGAGAGGCCTGCCCAGCAAAGAGCCTGCTTCCACACACGAGACCTTTCCTATTCTGAGGTGAAAGCCTCCTCTTTAATGCCCCCTGATTTTTCCAGAGAAGGAGCTCCTTGGTTCCTGTCATAGCTTTCTCTTCTCTCCCTCCCTCCCAACTCTCAGAAGGGGAAATTTAGTTTGATCCAGGAGTGTACTTACCTTTAAATTTTTTTTGTGTTCCTCCTGGGGAGATTTATAAAAGCCCCCTGCTCAAAGATGCTGGTTTAAAGCAGTGTTTCTCAACCTTTTTTTTTTTTATAAAGAGCCCCCTTTAAAAAAATTAAGTACCCCCAGTACCTACAGTTTTCAGACACACACATTCTTTTCCTACCATTGCAACACATTTGTTTAAACAGGTGGGTAGGCAGGTGGGTGTAAAAATTTGTGGGTGTAAAAAGTTCAAAAATAATAAAGTGGCGTAAAACTTAAAACAAAAATTCAGTTTTCTCCAAATTTCAGTTGTGTTGACGTACCCCCCAGACTTGTACCACTGGTTCAGAAACACTGGTAAAGGTTACAGGACACTTCTGCTCCTGCTTTCTGACCTCCCTCTCCCAAAGAACACCTTGAATTCCAACAGCTAAGGGGAAGAAAAAAAAAAAAAAGAGGGAAGTTCAGCCATCATGAGAAAGTGAGGTGCAACTTTGGGGTGAGGCCAGAAATGAGTTTCATGATGCAGGAGGGGGTTCCAGGCTCAGGCAGGGGGTTGGGGTGCAGGCTCTGGCTGGGGGTATGGGCTCAGAGATGGGGCTGGAAATGAGAGGCTTGGGATGGAGTAGGGGGCTCCAGGCTGGTGCTGGAAGGTTCAGGAGTAGAGTAGGGGCTTGGGATGTGGGGTGCATCACCTATAGCATCCACAGGGAAAAATTAGCAGGTGCTCAGCCCCTACCTGGAGCCAAAATCCCCCTTCTCCATCACTGCCTCTCATCTGCCAGCAGCCTGCTAGCTGACTGCTCCCCTTTCCTCCCTACCAGTGCCTCCCACCTGCAACAAAGAGTTGTTTTGAAGCATTCAGAGTTAAGGGAGGAGGTGGGGCAGGGATGGGCACTTGGTGGAAGAGCTGGAATGAGACAGAACAGAGTCAGGAAAAAGCAGGGTGGGGGGCAGCACTTTGGGGAAGGAATGAAATGGGGCCAGGGCAAGAAGCAGCAGAGCAGCCCCTGGCTAGATGTAAGCTCTGGAAGGGAGTTTGGGTGCCAGAGGGGTTCCTGGTCAACGGGAATGCCCCCACCCCAAGGACCAGCTCTGCAAGAGTGCAGAGTCCCCCAGCCATCCCTGTGCCCAGGAACCCTCCAGCCCCTTGCGCTGAGCCCCTCAAGAGATGGTTGCAATACCACAGTGCCCGTAAGAAATTGCAGTGGCTTTCACTCCTGTGTATCTCACTAGCGAAGTAGTCATAGAAAAGTGACAACTTCCCCACACCTGGAAACCAAGAGACGTCAGCGAGCGGGGATTTCTCCAGGATGAGTAACAGTTTCTTCTCGTCTGGAATACAGAAGGTCATAAAAGTCAACGAAGTGAAGGTCGTGTCCTCTTGTCATTCGTGACGCTCCCTATTTCCTCCAGCTGCCTATCCCTGCCTCCTCTCCCCGCACCTTGCCCTTCTCTCCTCTCGCGTCCCCTTGCCTCAACTCGCCCTTCCCCGGCCGATCCCGCCTCCCTTCCCAACGTGCAGCACCCTCGGCCATGTAGTCAGTCTATTGGCACGTACTCAGCTCACCTAGAGCCGTGCCCCGCCCCAAGGATCCCGCGCTGCAGCCCCCGGCGGCGCCCTTCTCCGCCTCGCCCCCCTCTCCCGGAAGAGGCTATGTATGGTCACCGCCCCAGGGCGCCCAGGTGAGGCTGCGCCCGCCCAGCCACTCAC